CAGAATACACCATAAGACAAAGACCCATTATTCATAATAAATAATAGGTAATATAATAGCCAAATATCTCTCTTTAATGTAGCAAAAAGTGATAACAGCAGGTTTGATGCCATTAACTCAATCAGTAGTTTGTTGCAGTCCAACATGATTTTGACAGTTTTGTTTTGTTTGAGTTTATTTGAGGAATTATGTGAATTGCTGGAATATGTTGTATTATCTTCTTGTTAATGTTCTTCTAATAATGTAGTAAGTTTAAATACCCCCCACACACACATCCACATGCACACACACACACACGCACGCACACACATCGAACGCATTGTTTTTTGCTCACTCTCGCAGACGTAGTTGTTCTCTGTGCTGGAAAGAATAACAGCTTAACAGAGCATAAATCTTTTTACCGACAGCATTCAAACTGTCCCTTCACAGCCGCAAAACATAAACAGACACCTGCACAACAGCAGCAGCTGGAGGTTATTCAAAATTCCACACATCCTAATCATGACAACACAGTGACATATATGATTTAGACAGATGCCTCAGTGGAAAGAACCCCAACAACCAGGAGGTTAAAACACAATAATCACAGTAGCATCTCTTCCTTTTAATTAGGTGTTTTTTCTTACAAGTCATCCAGAATCTTGAGCTTTCATTCACTACTCTTCAGCTCTTCTAGTGCCTTCTGTGAGACTATGACATGCTTACCCTTTTAAAAATAAAGGTTCCTAGAGGGTTCTTGGCTTGCTATGAAGAAATGCAGTTCTAGGAGAAAAACATTTAAGTGATATTGAATGTTTACATCATGTGGAGGTCCTTTAAGTTTTTGTAGCAGCAAAAAAAAAGTGTAACTTCTGCTTTGGAGTCCAGGCTTAGTTTAACTACTGAATTGTTGAACGCTTTTTACTTTTTTGAAAGTAATTGCATTGTTTGAAGATGTTCTGTATTTAGGGGTCCAGTCCTCAGCGCCTACCCTACTGTTTTTTTTCTATAAACTAAAATAGATTAAATAGCCCAAAGTTTGTTAGAATCAGTTCTGTGGGTTCAGGTGATCTCTTGTGATCAGGTGATCAGCTTTGAAACAATTTGTGAAGTGAGATTTATTTTTCATTTATTTATTAATTTATTTGTGAGGGGTGGTCCGCATTAATAAACAGTACCCACAGAGCTGTACATGAACCAGAGGCTCATCTTCATACAGTATTAACCCTTATCATAACCATGTGAGAAATAACCCACCAGCATCACTAAAAAAAGCTGCTTAAAGGTTGCTTTAAATACTTCGTTCAAATGTGTACACTGGCTCCATTAATGACATATGTGTAAACATAATTGCGTGTATAGGGACTCAAATATATTACTTGAGTTGATGTTACACAATTAATTTTTGTGAATCCACTATACACATTTGAATCAAGTAAATTCAACAGCGTTTTCAGTGCACATACACAAACATTACAAAAGACTTCTGCACACATAACAGCCACACACATAACAAGTCACTGATAAATCTATTTATTACATGTAATCGTTACAGAAGTTAAATGATAGCATGCATGGAAACAGTTGCTACGCTTAAACAGACTGTTAGCAAGAAGAAAAGACAAAACAGTGAAAAAGAAAGAAAGATGGATAACTGCACTGTATAGATTCGAATGTGAGCAAATCCGCCAATCAGAGAGTTTACCCAGTAAAATTTCAGTCCGCGTTAGATTAGCTGAAGGTAAGTATGGTGGGGGGTGTCTGGTGTGTGTGTGTGTGTGTGTGTGTGTGTGTGTGTGTGTTGGGGGGGGGTTGTTAGCCGCCTCGTTTATAGCTGATGATGACGTGCGCGGTGGACGCTGCGCTGTCCGTGGTGCTGAAGAGCAGTGCTAAGTGTCAGACTGACTGCAGCGCTACAACCCGCTACCCTCACCAATCAGCGTTCATAAAGCACTAAATCTATCTATCTATCTATCTATCTGTCTAACTGAGAGCCAGAGTCTGAACTGATTTTATAACTGTGGTTATTGCATAAACAAAATATTTTTTTCTTGGTAATAGTTCACATTAGCAAAGATAAATAAATCAATTAAACAGAGTAACAACAACAACAACAACAACATGAACAACAATACTACTACTACTAATAATAATGATAATACTTAATAAAAAACGTATGAACAATTATTATTCTTATTATTACTACTACTACTACTTATTTGTCTTTCTTGGGTTGCTGCCAAGAGATACTACTACTACTACTACTACTACTACTACTACTACTACTACTAATAATAATAAATTATTATAAATTGTTATTCGATTATATATCTTAATATATATTATTATATTATACATTATGTATCATTCTATATTTGTGTTATATATATTATTGGTATTATTCATTATTAGTGTTATTAATATTATTGTACTTGTATTAATTATTATTAATATTAATATTAGTAGTAGTAGTACTGTAGTGTCATTTTAAGCATGTCAGTGAAAAAGATTGTCTACTGATTTTGCTGTACAAAATACAGTAAAATGAATCATGTACAGATTGAACAACATTTCAATTAAAGGTAAGAGTGTAGATTTCACTCCTTCACTGTCTACTTATTTACATCCACACAGAACTTAGTCATTTACACGCAGAATATTGTTAGTGTAACGCTGGGTTTGCAGATCAGACACACGCGGATAAAAATGAACCCGTCAGATTTATTCAAATGGAGATAAACAGGGTTAACACCAGACCAGGTCAAAAACCAGAATAGCCAGACAAAATACGCAGGCATAGGCGGAAGCGTAGTCGAAAAAACAGGCGAGGGTCGTAACCTGAGAAAACACATACACGAAAACAACAAAGCCAAAACAGGAGCGAGAATCGTAAACGGGGAAAAAAAAACAAGCGAGGTCAAAACACGGAACAGCAATCAGAAAAGCAAACGGCTTAGTATGCACTGACTAAGCAAGGGCAACACTTCGCAAAGACAAAGCTCAAACAGACAGGTATATATACAGAGCAAAACAGGTGGTGATGATTAGTATTCAGGTGACTGTGATCTGCTGGGTGGTTTGTGATTGGCTGGAAGAGTCTCGTGACTGACAGAAGGATTCTGGGAAGTGGAGTCCTTGACGGTATGAGAGTCCGGGAAGCGTGACAGTTAGCATGTGTCTGCACAGAAATAATGTATTTATATGCAGATAACGGTAATGATTGCTAGTCTTATTTCTGTATAGTTTTATTTGATATGAACTTCTTACAGAACTGATTCTCTACATAGTGTTTCAGTACTGATACTGATTTAGTCAGTAGAGCTCATAGGGAGTGAGATGGTCTAAATCATTTCGGCGCGTTGCTGAGCAGTGAGGCTGCTGAGTGAGTGAGTGAGAGACTGTGCTGAAAGAGATGGTGTCCTCCTAGTGGCAACAAGAAGAACGATCAGCCAGACTTTTTCATTTTGTGAAGAATGTTGGATTTAAAGTGTATGATTGTTATTAAATGATTATTACATTCTTTATTAAAGTCTGCGTACAGTAACTGCTGTAGAAATGATGAGTCCTGATCTCGGCCCAGTCCTGAGCTAAAGCTGCAGAAAGAGAAAGAGGAGAGACGGAAGAGTGGATGATGAGACAAAAAAGGCCTTATTAACATTATTAACATTAACATTATTACAAACTCCTCAGAGAGACCTACAGAGGGACCAATTTACTCATTTACCCATCTAGTGAAAGTTAGATATGAAATAAGCCCACCTTTTAAAGTAGTTCTCACATCCCAGAAGGCCCTTTTAACATAAAGCGCAGGAAACATGGACTGAACCTGCGGGGCGGAGTGATTCAGCATCTGGAGTTAGTTTGGTCTGAACAACGTGACTAAATGGATGAGTTTATTCCCTTTTTAAAGAAATACTATAAACGGCCTTATAGAAAATAAATTAATTAAGATTATTGAGAGATCAGTCTGTTCTTTAGCAGCTATTCTTAACTTCAGCTCAGCAGCTTCCACAGGGAGAAAACTCAGGAAAATAGAAAATATAGACTATATTACATGCCAATTAATGCAAACTAACGATCTGCCTTGACATGTGATTCAGTAAAACTTCCATAACTGATTTTCATAACACGCGTTCAGAAGTGAATATGAAGGCCTGATAGTAAAATGATTTAAAGCGTGACGTCAGTCATTTTTACATTCTGTGAATTATAAGCAGCTGTCTGACGGGACAGCTGTCATTTTTCCTCATTAATAACTGCCTTCTTACGTAATGATTTTGCTTCATAGTTCATGTTCTGTGTAATTATTAAACAGTAATTTTACATGTCTGTGTGATTATTAAAACTATTATTAGTAAAACTAATTTCATTATTATTATTATTATTATTATTATTATTATTATCATATTGCTATTTTGTTCTAGATGTAGTTCTTATTATTACTACAGTAATAATAATAATAATAATAATAATAATAATAATACAGGACACTGGTCAGTTTAGGCCACTTACTGCTCTCCCTTCAGTACAGTTCAGTGGGTCACTGCTAAATGAGTGCTGGTCAGCGGGTAACAGCGGCTCTTTTGTCCAGTTGTCCAGGGTGCTGTATATAGGGCAGTCCATTAATGCTCTAAAGCTCATATTTAATATTTTAATATTATTACACTTACCCGTGGCCCATTCGGGTAGTAAGAGTCAGTTTAAGTCTAAGTCTAAACGAGAGCGCTTCTCTTATATTCTCTGTGCCTGTAGATCACAGCGCTTCCTATCAAATACAACCTGTCTCTTACAGACACAGTGTGATGAGAACGAGTTGTATAGTGTGTGCGTGTGTATGTGTGTGTGTGTGTGTGTATGTGTGTGTGTGTGTATGTGTGTGTGTGCGTGTAAGAGTTTCAGTGCGTTTCACCCTAAGCGGCCCCCCACAGTAGGAGGAGGGAGGTGTGTAACTCTATATGTGAGAGAGCCGCTGAGTTGCTCTGAGAGTGTGATGTGAGTCTGCACTGAGCGCTGAACTCTCTCTCTCTCCCTCTCTCTCTATGCAGTGAAGCGTGCTGGTCATGTTTTCCTGGATTGAACTGAACTGAACGGCATGTGATCTGTTCATCGTGCACTGTCCTTCAGCGAGGTGAGAGAATGAGGAGCGCTCTGCTCCGCTCTCCACACTGAGCCGCGCCGGCATCCTCAGCTACAGCAGCACCTCTGACTCAAAGCGGATAACGTGTACCTGCATACAGAGAGCTCAGAAGTGCAGACTAGAAGAGTTAAAGCTTTTTAGTTTTTCAATTGATATGATTCAAATCCACGCTATGAAAGATGTTACATCAACTTAAGTGAGTTAATGAAGTACTTACGAACAGAAATGATGCTGATGTAACGTCTTTCATTCATGTGAAGCCAGTGCACCCGTTTGATCTAAAGGAAAATGTATCAGATCAGAAAGAGAATAGTTCAGGAATAAGTATTTTTAAATGACTGATGAGCGGGTCTTTCTCTCTTCTGCTGCAGGATGATGATGATGGATCTCGGCGGTCTCCTGAGCTCCGTCGCGCCGCTCTCTGCGCGCTCCCTCCTGCTGCTCTCTCTCGCCTTGCTGCTCCTCGCCATGCGCTTCTCGCGCCGCCGCACCCAAAGCGCGCGCTCCATCCCCGGTCCGTTCCCGTGGCCGGTGATCGGTAACGCGGCTCAGCTCGGCGCCACCCCGCACATCTACTTCTCACGCCTGGCGCGGCGCTACGGCAACGTGTTCCAGATCCGGCTGGGCAGCCGGCGCGTAGTGGTGCTGAACGGCGACGCCATTCGGCGCGCGCTCGTGCACAAGGCCGTGGACTTCGCGGGCCGCCCGAACTTCTCCTCGTTCAGCTTCGTGTCCGGCGGCCGCAGCATGGCCTTCGGCGACTACGGAGAGCGCTGGAAGGCGCACCGCAAGCTCGCGCACTCCACCGTGCGCGCCTTCTCCACGGGGGACATTCACACGCGCCGCGCCTTTGAGGCGCACGTGCGCGGCGAGGTTCAGGAGCTCATCGGGCTGGTCGTGCGCGAGACGCGCCGCCTCGGGTACTTCCAGCCTCACGAGTACCTCGTGGTGTCCACGGCCAACATCATGAGCGCCGCGTGCTTCGGCAAGCGCTACGCGTACGACGACGCCGAGTTCCGCCAGATTGTGGGGCGCAACGACAAGTTCACGAAGACGGTGGGCGCGGGCAGCATCGTGGACGTCATGCCGTGGCTACAAAGCTTCCCCAACCCCATCAAGACGCTCTTCCTGCAGTTCAAGGAGCTCAACTACGAGTTCTTTGACTTCGTCCACGCCAAGGTGACCGAGCACCGCAAGACCCTGGAGAAGGGCTTCATCCGGGACATAACGGACGCCTTTATTGTGGCCGTGGACCGAGGCGCGGTCAGCCTAGTCCTCGGTCAGGAGTACGTGTCGCCCACCATGGGGGACATCTTCGGAGCCAGCCAGGACACGGTGTCCACCGCGCTGCAGTGGATTGTTCTCGTGCTTGTGAGGTACGTATGAGGTTTTGTCGTTGGAACATTGCTGGACATGGTGTGCACTGCTTGAGGTGGACAAGCCATTCTTTCATGATCTGTGTAGGAAGGAAGGAGCCATTTGAGATTTGCTCCATATGTTTTCTGGAGAGCAGGTGCGGATTTAGTGGTTCTGGGGCTCTAAGCCAAAAACGGGCCCTCAGGAAGTACGTTTAAAACAAAAACACTATTTTGGCAAGTGAAATTCAATATATCTAATATTTCTCATTTTGAGATTGTTGAAAGAGTATTATATGATATGTAACTATTTAAATGATTTCCACAACAGTTTAGTTAAGTTTATTAAGTGAAAGTGGCAGACAACTTTGCTTGTTTTAAGAAATGATGCTCGAATAGATAATATCTGCTAGTGTAGTGAGATAATGTGGTCATGTGTAGAAGTAATGCAAATGAGATTACTTTTTCCAGAAATACATTCTGAGAGAAGTAATCAGTAACTTGTAATGGAGTAATCAGTAACTTGTAATGTAATGTAATTACCCCAACACTGGAACTGTCTACACTAACATTAACACTAGCACTGCATACAGTCTACAGTTTCTCTCTCAACGGGCAGAAAATCGCACCAAAGAAACTCCTCTCCATAGTATAGATTATCACTTAACTGCCTTGTTCATATCAATCTGACTTTACCAAAAATTATATATAATCCTCTCTCTTTATGTAGTTGTGTCATCATACAGCAACATGGAATAGTCAGTTATAACTGTCGTGGTTGGGGCTGCAGAGAAATTTTCTAAAGAACCACTACAATTGCAAATAACAGCTAATTGTATATATGTTGTTATAGGGTGTTGAGCATCAACATGTACAGTATATCTAATCTGTATTTTCATGGGGCCCTTGGCTCATGGGGCTAGTGCAAAGACAGCCTCTGCTAAAGATCTGCCTTCCTTACAGGTTTATTTTGAAGGCGAATCAATCAATCAGCCAATCAATCAATCAATCAATCAATCAGCCAATCAACCAATCAACCAATCAGTCAGTCAGTCAATCAGCATTCCAAACAGCTCCCTATTGGACATGTGGAGAAGTTATTATTGCGGGGTTAAGTTAGAACTGTAACTGAGCCAATCAGTGTCCTGAGTTCCTAATGATTCCCTATTGGACATGCAGTGTACTATTTCATGACATGTGAAGTGGAGGAAGCTGAATCTGAGATTCAGCCAAACATAGTCATGATAAGACAGTGGATATAGATCTACTGCCTGGAGATCCACCTTTCTATGTGGTTTAATTTCAAGCCTAAGTTTCCAACTTGAAGCAAACTCGACCGGTGCGTAAATCTCCAGAATGAAGGGTGGTGACTACTGGAATTAAGGGAATGAAGTCCTGCTCTTGTTTTAACTGGTGTATTGGGAGCAGATAGAATATTCAAATGTGCAGTTCAGGAGCAGATTTGGAAAATGCAGGGGCAGTCCACCAGCACTGCGTGGTTTTCCCTGAACCTAGATCATATTAGCTGATGATCAAGTGCTTCTTGTGAACTTTGCAGTGCAGTCAGAGTATGGGAATGGTATGGGGAAACAATGGCCAGATTTTATCAGCTGGATTGTGTGGAGTTGAAACTAAGCCATATACATTGTATGCAAAAGTTTATACCCCCAGTGAAAAAAAGTACACTTCCTGTAGAGGGAACACACTTAAGTATGACATTTTGTTCTGCAAATTGTAGTGCAGAATTTCTGTTTGTTTGCTGAGTTTAAGATAATGAAAAAAATTTTACATAACGTAAAAGGCCACATTGTATGTTTTACTTTTTCCAATATGTCAAATTTGGCAAATAAGCAGTAATTGTGCATTAAAATGTGCGTAAGTGTGTTCTTTGTAGAGGATGTGTTAATTTATTTTAATGTAGAAAATCAATAAAACTTGGAATTTGACCAGGGGAGGCCAAACCTTTGTATATGACTGTACGAAGGTGGATCTGCAGGAGGTAGCTTTGTGTCCACTTGATAGGGGGCTAAACATTACAGCCCTGTCCCAAACAGAGCAAGTTTAAAAAGTTAAAAATGAAAAAGCTTGTTCAGTAAAAATGCTAAATGAACATGTCACTAAAGAAATCTTTATAACAAATATCTGAACAGAAAGTATAAAGTGATATTTGATGCAGCTTAAACAGCCTGAAGGTTTCTGAGGAGCTGGGAGCTTTGTTTGAATGTTGCGCCTGTCGAGGAAACCAAGCACTGGAGTGCATGTGTCAGTGAGCACAAATAGCATTGCGTAATCACTAGCAGTGCTGGCAGGTTTAGTCAGCAAGTAATGGGAGCAGGATACTGAAAAGAGTGCCAGAGGAAGGCTGAAATCAGATCTGCCCACATTAGACCCACCACACTGGGAGAATGAAACTGTGCTGCTCTGGCTGCACGCACTACTGAGAACTTTTACGCAGACTGTAGACAAGAGTTGGCCAAAATCCAGCTGTGGACAGACACGGGCTGTACAGTTTAGTGTTTTCCTGGCTCTACCACATCATAAGCTGTTTATTGAGGCCCTTCATCAGTTGAATCAAGTGTATTACATTTTTTAAAATAAAGTGACTAAAAGTATGTTTTGGAATGATGCCACTGAACAGCGGCTCCCAACCTGGCCTCAAGGCCCCCAGACAGTCCACATCTTTACCCTAACACAACTGGCAACATAAGGATGAAGGAAAAGTGTGGACCATCTTGGGGACCCTGAGGACCAGTTATAAATGAGATGTGCAAGTGTGAAGAACCTTTTTCAAAGTTTAATGAACCTCCACGTAATGGTACCGTTAAAGCAAAGAACTATGCATTACTATTATAATGTTCTTACAACACATCATACAAAATGTTCTGTAAAAAGCGTCTTTTCCTGTGCATTTACTACTTACATACACCTTTTGTCTGTTCTATATTAGAGAACAAAACAAGTTCTACATGTGGACTATAGTATAGATGCAGTAAAATATGCCTGCTAACATGATCTGCTTCATTCCATGCTCCACACTACAGGTATCCAGACATTCAGAAGAGACTTCAGGAGGAAGTGGACAAAGTAGTGGACAGGAGCTGCCTGCCTACAATTGAGGACCAGCCACGTCTTCCATATGTAATGGCCTTCATGTATGAGGTGATGCGATTCACAAGTTTTGTCCCTGTGACAGTTCCCCACTCCACCACCACTGACACTTCCATTGATGGATACCACATCCCCAAAGGCACTGTAATCTTCATCAACCAGTGGTCCCTGAACCATGACCCCACTAAGTGGGATCAGCCTGAGATCTTCAACCCACAGCGCTTCTTGGACAAGAATGGGGCACTAAATAAAGACCTAACCAGCAGTGTGCTGATCTTCTCCTTGGGAAAGCGGAGATGTATTGGAGAAGAACTGTCCAAAATGCAGCTTTTCCTCTTCACCACGCTTCTCGTACACCAGTGCAACTTTGTGGCAGAGAAGCCACTCACTATGGACTACCAATATGGGCTGACTCTAAAGCCCAACCCATTTAAAGTGTCCGTCACTCTGCGTGATGGAATTTCTGGAGACGGTGGTCCAATCACCTCTCCCAGCACAGAACATTAGTGATAAGATGACAAATGGCGTCGCAAACTTGAAATGAAAACAAAATGAAAACAAAATGAAAAAAACACTTTAAATTATGCTAAATGAAGGTGGCAAAAAAGTACTATGAACACTGAAGTAAATCTGAAGATCTGTGCCGTCAGGTCAGACCTACTGCATGTATACAAGAACTTATTAATATATTTATGAACATTCTATACTCAGGCAAAACTATTTTGATTTACAGTTGATTTGCGCTGCATCACTATGGACTACATTAATACGATGTTCATTATATTCTCAACATATAAATGCACTGATACATTATTCACAATTCCTTATGCCTTATTTGAGAGACATAAAACAAAATGTAGATCTTTGTGCCAATCGAATGTGTCCAATCAAATGGGGCTGCAATACGCTACTACTTTCTGCACTGATATCCTTTATACACCCTTCATTTTCTAAGCTCGGTAGACCTCTAAGTAGCAAGGCTACTTAGAGCTACTACTACTGGAACTTGTATACAGCTTCACCCTGTATAATAATAGCAATGTATCACTTTCGATATCCCCTTTCCCTTCTGTATTTTTTTTCTTAAATTAATTTTATGTCCAATTCAACATCGATGGTCCTTTTACTTGCACGCAGTTGACTTACTATGGGCAGTTTTCCCAGCTGCTCCCATCCAAATAGTTTTAATGTCAGTTCTGCCAGAAAGATGCAGGAGGCAAGAGTGAAAGAGGACAGTTTTTCATGTCCTCAATGGGATTTTACAAGTTCAGTAGAAATAAAGAGTCTTTGGCACAGGCCCTGTCCTCTGTCCAGGTTTTGGAACGTCGAGACCTCGACGATTCTGCTGGATAGAGATAGCAAGGGGTGGAGCCCACCCCTGGACAACCAGACAGGGACCCAGCTGGTGGTGGTGGGGAGGAAGGAGGGGAACGTCAAAATGTGGTACCTGAAAGCAGCAGAATAGGTACGTTAGACAAGTCATTTTGAAGAGGTGAAGGCCCCTGATTGGTCTGGAGTAATGAATGAATGAATGATGTAGGATTAGAGTCTTCCTGGCAGAACTTTCACTAAAGCTTTAAAAGCTAAAAAACTAATGACTTAGCTAAACCATGCTACTTCTCGGACTAATTCAGCCAGTTCCTCTTTTCTCTTCTTTATACACCACATAGATCTACAAGCTAGAGCAATATATTTAACATGTTGTGATTTATATAGCAATAGAATCTTTAATATATAATATATATATATATATATATATATATATATATATATATATATATATATATATATATATATATATATATATATATATAATAGTTAATTTAACTGTTCTCTTCTTGCATTGAAAGTATCTAAGGTAAAATTGCTGGCATGCTCCCTAAAACACAAAGCAATCCATCACTTTACTGTCTTTAGTACATAAATCACCTTAATACTTAATTTCACAAAACTCTGCAATCCAAATGGCACTTTACATTTTTTTAGATTTCTTTTGGCCGTATATAGTATTATCCAATAGCCTGGTGCCTTCTCACCATAGAAATAAAGCACCACCTTCTTGCCTTGTGTTTGTATCTGCTCAAAGCAGAATAGATAGTTATTTTTTTACTGCACTACTTTAATTTATCCTTCTTTTTCCCTGATGCTATTGTTTAGTACCCAGTGCTGCAGTATACTGTTTTTTCCTGCCATTTCTATCACTCGAGTGGATGAATGAGCCTCTTCAGAGCTAATTCACCTGTCTGTACTGAGGGTTTGAGAACAAGCTGTTCATTGAATGCTTAAATGAGAATCTGCTTGGGTTTGACGAGTGTATTTGTTGAACCAGCCTTAGCAACTATAAACTCCCTCTTTTTATCAAAGTTCTTGAAGATGCACATTCTATTTTTTAGGTTCCTAAAAGAACCCTAATTTCTAGGCTGGTACAACAAACTACATATTTAAAAGTGTGGGGCTTCAACTTTCAACTTCACAACCAAATATAATAGCATGAAGTCTGTTAATCGCTATTTCAAACCCCTACACTTTTATATCACAAAGCTTTTCATGATAGTTACGATTATCAAAAAGAGTGCATAGCCAGGCAATATTCCTAGTATTTCTCTCTTCTTATGAAAGACCAGCAAGGGGGAATCTCAGGGCTTGCTAACAAACATGTATATTCATTTTATATATATATATATATATATATATATATATATATATACACATGTTGCTGATTTTTACCTGTTTTCTGCAACTGCTGTAGCAAACATTTTAATACTATAATAGAGCTATATTAAATCTATATTAGATCAGTGTTTTGCATTCAAACAGCCAAATTAGTTTAATTTTCTTGGTTTTATTTAGTAGATGACATATAGTTTGTTGTTTTATTTTAAATTTTGTGATTCAATTGTATGTTGTATTTTACTACTAAACATAAGCTCAGACTTTTGGCTGCTCTGCAAAGTCGATTGTTCATGTTTTCAGGGCATGCAATTTACATGATGATCTTTTTAATATTCTACATAACAAATACTCTGTACTGTATTTAAAATCTGGAATGATCATTTAGTTGCATCATTTATATTGAAACTGTTGAACCGAATTAAACAGAATAATTATATTTTTTGCTTGAGATGTGTGTGATGTCAATTATTTATTGTCAGCACCAGAAATATTTTGATGCCGACAATGTTATTGGTTTTTAGATGTCAACCACAGCAGATTGGAGTTGAAATTATGTAATGAACATGAGCTCAAAGTGCAGACGTTCAGCTTTATTTGAGGACATTTAAATCCAAATTAGGTGAATGGTGTAAGAATAACAATCGTTTCCCCACAGAACTGGTCTTTGCTGGTTTCTTCGCTTTGAATCATTTGGCTGAATCTAAGCAGATAATTTAGGCCTATAACATTTCAGAATTCACCCTGCTGCTTTTGTCAACATCAGATCATCAATAAATATAAGGGAACAAGTTCCATTGGCAGCCACACATGCCCACACCATAACACTACCTCCACCATGCTTAAAAGATGAGGTGGTATGCTTTGGATTATGATCAGCTCCTTCCCTTCTCCATACTCTTCTCTGTGCATCATGGTATAAGCTGATTTTTGCATCATCTGTCCATAAGATGTTTTTTCTAGAACTGTACAGGCTTTTTAAAGATGTTTTGGCAAACTCAAATTTGGTCTTCCTGTCTTTAAGGCTTACCAATGGTTTACATGCTGTACTAAACTCTCTGCATCCACTCTGGTGAAGTCTTTTCACAGCTCCCTCCTGGAGGTTTTCCTGATCTGGCCAAGTGCTGTGAAGGAGTTTTTTCACTAGGGAAAGAAATTATTAGTCATCCACCACAGCTGTTTTCCATGGTCTTTCGGTGATTCTGAGCTCACTAATGAGTTCTTTCACTTTAAGAATATATCAATAGTTGATTTGGCCACACCTAACGCTTTTGCTATCTCTCTGATGAGTTTGTTTTGTTTTTTTTTTCCTGCATAATGATGGCTTGCTTCATTGGCAGTGACAGCTCTTAGGACTTCATATTGAGAGTTACCAGCAACCAGGGTTAACTACAAATTAGTAGTTAGATACTTTGTAGCTACTTTCCCAAAATTTGTGGGTAGCGACAATTTAGCTGCTTTCCCAGAAAAAGTAGTGGCTACTTTTTAGCTACTTTCAAAGCGTGATTGTCAGAATGTTTGTGTATCTCCACCTGACACACCAAACAAGCCCAACTGACAATGTGAACAAGACACTGCATTTAATCTTGTGCCAGAAAGAAACATGCAATTGAAAAGCTGCAAATATACAAAAAGATCACCAAAAAGTCAGTTCAAGTGTAACCAACAATCAAACTTACACAACCAAAGGCATGATATCCAACAAACATTTAGACTAAGTAAAGGCAGAGTCAATCATTCCAGGTTTTTCCTCCCAATAATAAACAAAAATAACCAGATACAAACCAAACAGTTTTGTGCAAAGCATTGCCAACTGTTGAAATAAAACTGCTCCAATTTGGGCTCCCCAGTGGCGCAACCGTCTAAACGTTGGCCCTATCATCAGGAGATCGCGAGTTCGATCCCTGGTGATGCTACAGCCATCCGTAGCCGGGAGTCCGAGAGAGCACAATTGGCCTCGCTCTCTCTGGGTGGGTAGGATGGCCCCTCCTTCTTCCCCCATCACTCAGCGCGATGCTAGTCAGCGCAGGCGTCTGTTAGCTGACGTAACAGATCTGGCGGTTGCCGCTTTCCTCCGAGCGCGTTCGGCTGTCCAGTGACGTTGCGTGAGCGGCAGCTCGAAAAGAAGCGGTGGTTGGCTTCACAGGTCTCGGAGGAAGCCTGTGTTAGCCTTCACCCTCCTAGCGTTGATAGCATCGTGTGATTGGGGGGGTGGAATTGGAGACGACTAAATTCGGGAGAAAATCGGGTTAAAAAAAAAAAACTGCTCCAATTTAAACATTTCAGCAAGAGATGTACAGACATGACATTCAGAGTCTTTTATTAAACTTCAGCAACACTTCAGCCTCAAAATTCTCATCAGTGACCCTGGCTCTGTTTGGGGTGAGAATCAGGCCTGAATAATCTCTCCACTGCTGCAGAGCTGTTGCGGCTCCACAGCAAACTAGATTTTTACACAGTTCTAACACAGTTTTCACAATAAATGGTCTTAAATGCTGGGGTTAACGCATAACTGCTAATTCACCAACCTTTAATGCTAAAGACTGACGCGCAGACTGGTGGTCACACAGCAATGCAGATAACAAAAAGGCAAAGAGAGATTTAAGACGAACATCGATAATTTGGAGACTAATGGACTTATTTGCATTCATAAGCACTCAGCTGGTTTTCTCATACGTTTACTCTGCAACAACTCACAAGGCTGAAGTCGCTTCTCATTCTCCAAAAGTAGAACATTGAGCGACATTTTACAAGAAACTTGCAGAAAACTTTCCTGAGATGTGAGAGAAGTGGCTATAGCTGACCATACTGAGATATATTTACAGCCATTATGGTAAAACGGACATAAAATGTTGTGGCTCCCAAAGTGGATTGATTTTTGTTGAAAGGACCGAATGTCTCTTAACATTTCTGTTGCCAACCCCTGAGCTAAGCCTACTAGTAATGGGTGATCAGCACGTGACCATTTGCTCGAACTGTCCGTGCCTCAGTCAGGATTGCACAGTCGCCACCAGCCCAGTTAACGACCGCATTCTATGGTTCAGATTTTGCGCAGATTGTCTGAAGCCTGTAGCGAAATTGTAGTGAAAATCATCAGTATAGCTACACAAAAATTTGTAGGTGCTACAGCTATTAGCTACATTTCATAAAACTGTAGCAGCTACGGCTACTAGCTACAAAAACTTGTAGTTAGCTACAAAAAGTAGCGCGCTATTTAGCTACTCCCTTATCCCTGCCAGCAACAGGTTCCAAATGCAAGTGCCACATTTAAAATCAACACTAGACTTTTTATCTGCTTAATTCTAAGTGTAATAATGAAGGAATAACACACACCTAGCCATGGAACAGCTGAGCAAGTAATTGTCCAGGTACTTTTGAGCCCCTAAAAATGGGGTGGGGTTGGGGGTATGAATATGGTTGTAATTCTTACATTGTTCACCCAATTTGGATGTAAATACTCTTGAATTAAAGCTGAAATTCTGCACTTTGGGCTATTCATTCATTATTTAGTTTCAACTCCAATATGCTGTTGTGGACAACTAAAATAATACAAACTTTGTCTATATCCAAATATTCAATTAGCCGACTGTTTTCGCCTTTATTATGTAAAGAAATGTCAGCAGGAGACACCAGGGCCATATTGTCAGACTTAAAGCCTTGGTATCAGATTAATCACAATGTATGGTAAAGCCATTATGATGAGTATTCTTGTCTAGCTATAGTTAATCTATATAAAGAACTGAGCTTATATTTAGTCTGCAGTATTTGTGGATAGCGGCTTTATCCAGAGTTGTGGGAAGTAAAGGGAAGTGCTTAGGATAGAACTTTCCCTCTACTGCTGCTTATCTCGCTCCCCCAGTACATCCTGTTCTTGATCAGCCAGAAGCTCGCAGCCAGGCAGCCAGTCCTGAGTGCGTGACAACTCCAGATAGAGCCAGCTGATTACTGATACACCAACACCCCCATGCCCCCCGCCGCCAAACCAACAAAAGAAAAAATGCAAAAGCTCCACTTGCTACTCTATCAGTAATTGCTTACCATGGTGGAAGAGCATAAACGGAAAAAAAGCATGTGCTTCATTGTAAGTATAAATAGTTCACATAGTTTTGGATAAAGAGATAGTAGTGTAGGATCAGCTTTAAAGAGAAAATATGCAGAGATTAAAAAACATCACACACAGCCATATTAAGTTTTCAGCAGTGGCAAACCATGACTATTAGAGCTTGGCCTTCAGTTCAAGCCATCAATATCAAAACCTTGTCAAAAATGAGGAAAAGAAACACCACAAAATGTTCATTTCTACTAAGCACATGAACATTTTACATAGACATTTAAAGCTTGTAGATGACATTCCATGTTTTGGAAGGTTGCAAAGACATATCATAAAGATATATTTTACCTTGTAGCAGTTTTATAGTGATCAGTAAACAGCCGTGGCACAGGGCTACTGCCGCTGTTTTACATTTTTAACATCTGATTAAAACGCTACTGTTTACAGTGCTTTGCTTAATGATGTATTTAGGACTTCCAGAGGGTGTAGAGTGATATTTGTTTCTCATAAAATCGGTCTCACCCACTGGAAGTCATGACTGGTTGATTCTACTGTCGGTTCCTAATTATGCTAGTGGTTATCTAACACTTTAGGCCATTAGTTCAGCTCCTGAAGTTCTAACCAATGAGAGAGCTCAACTGGTTTTACCTGCCTAGATACCATGGGAACACTCCTGATTGGACAGTTTTCCGTTGAGCATGTAAAGATTTTAACCCTTTAGTGTCCAACCAAACAGTTACAGTGAAATAAGAATATTGCTAGAATTTTCAAATACAAAATGAACACATTTATCTTATATTTCACAGAAATTGTTGAGGGTTCCCCACTGTTATTCATTAACTACTATTAATTATAACCAGCAATGAAATTCACTCTTGAAAATAAAGGTTGTGAAATGGTTCTTGACTTGGATGGACAGTTTTAGGAAAATCCTTTAATCAATGTAGAGCCTATATGTTATGTGGAGTTTCTTTAAACTTTAAAAGATTCTTTAGACTCATACATTTTATTTACAAAAATGGTTCTTTAAAGAATCATCTACTAAAGGTTCTTTGGGGAACCAAAATTAGTTTCTTCTACTGCTTTGCAAAGAACTGTTTTTAGGTGTTATGTTACCTAGTTATGCGATGAAAAAAGTGTGGACCAACATACAGGCCTTTAAGGTTTAATGGGTTAATCATGTCTTGTATTTCATTATGTTGCACCGTTTAAGGTCATCATACACATAACTCATAAACTTTGCCCAGACTGATAACCTAATCACCATGTTGCACAAGGCAGAGGGGCATGACTAACCTCTTAATTCAGGCTGGATAAGAGGCGCACACGACAAGGACATTTAAAAAAGAGTGTTACCATCTGGCACTGTGGCTGACAATGTCACTTCCAGAGGTCCATTCCCATGGAACAGAGCGGGGCCCACTCAGCCTTGGCTTTTGGGTTTCTGTACACAAAGGCATACCTCCCAGCCCTCACACATACACATTTATGCTTGCATAATCAGCAGAACCAGTGGAGAAGGCCTCTTCTGTAAACCAAAGATACATACATTTATTCTAGTAAAGCACACGAAAGAGCTGTACGATCTACATTTCTTAATCATTATTGCAATACCGGCTTCTGCAATACTGATATCAAAGATATCTGAAACATACAAATGAAAATTTCACTGTGACCAGTTTGAGAAAATAAATAAATACAAAGAAATAAATACAAATAAAAATAAAAACATGGTTGATATCATTAATTGAAGTTCAGTCTTTTCATTTATATCAAGAGTGTGCCAATGTGTTTCAAGCAAGGCATATAGCAATTGGAATATTTAGCATTATAATTGCAGTATGTGTATTATCACACAGACCATATTATGGAACATGACATAAATAAACACAAATGGACACATAAGACAGAAGTAATGTATAATGAATTAATTTGTATTTTGTGGTTTTGGTTTAAATTCCCTCTTCACTTTAAACATTAAAGTAAAGAAATTCAATTAAAGAAATGTTTTCGAGTGGAAAAAAAGCAAGAAATGATAAATATTGGTAATGAGAAACATATGTGTGGACATGTTGCTGTGGACATGACACTTAAATTCATGTTTTGAGGCATTATCATGAGAATGACTCATATACGTCTGTATTCAGTGTGAAACCCACTGACAAGAAGTGGCTCATTCAAGTGATTACTAATTGCATTTTCCACCTGTTCAAAAATGATAATGCTGTATTCTTCTTAAAGAATTATCCACTTGGTGCTACAAATCGTTATTCACATACAACAGTGAGGACTGGAGCCTAAGACAAAAGTGACTCAGTTTGTTATTGACTGGCTTAATGGTATGCAAAAGCTTGAACACTACAAATGACGTGTTGATTTTCTAAGAGAAAATAAGTTAACACATCCTTTACAGGGAACAATTTTTCTGCTAAGTTTAGTGCACAGTTTCTCTTTTTTGTTACTGTTTAACATACTGAAAAAAAAACAAAAATATAAATGTGCCATAACTTTTTTCATAGGCCATATTTTATGTTATATTTTTTTGACAACATATTAAATTTAGCAACTAAACAGTAATTGTACATTAAAATGTGTAGAGGATGTGTTATCACTTAGAAAATCAATAAAACATTATTTGACCTGGGGCATCCAAACATCTACATATGACTGTGTATTTGTGTAATACACAATAGCTGACATATTGGTCACCCTTTCTAGAACGCTTGCTTTCTGTTAAAGCAGTGCTCTAAACCCCTTATCACACGCTCTTCCTTAGGGACAAAACTGTGCCATTTCGTCAGCTTTCTACATAATGGCCTGCAGGATAAGCAGATTTATCTTAAAATAAGTATCAACACCTGAAGATTTTTTGACATGATTGTAAAATTAATTCATAATAATTAATTCATTAAGTCATAAACTCAAAAAAAGGATTGTGTGTGTCATCTAGAGTCAATTAGAAAACCTTTTCTACCGAGGTCGTGAACAATGAGACAGAAAGCATTTCAACTCATTTCAAAAATGAGCCACAGATTCATCAGAAAGTATTTTTATTATTTGCTTTACTTTAAAGCTGAAACAGAAACCAAAACCTAACAGCTGCACAGTAGCTCTGTGAGCGAAGTGCTGACTAGCTCCAGCTTGGACACTGATTAACTCAAGTCCTTTCGAAGTACCGTCCAAATTTGCAACCACATGGGAAAAGTAGCTGTGCAGAGGTGAACAGGTCACTTCCCTTTGGAACTGACAAGTGATGATGGCCTCCTGTCCGCATGGCCTGTAATTAGTTCCTGTTCCAGATGTCCACTGCGTGAGAGAAAGAACGAGGAAAAAGAGCAACAGTAAAGAGGTCACTGTGCCTGAAAAATCAGTCTACACTCCTTCTGTGTTGTTTTCCAGCCTTGATTATTTTCCTGGTGTCAGAGCCAAACTCCAGCAATGGCTAGAGCAACCAAAATTAAATCAGGTCTTCTTTATTTGATTTAAAGTCCAGTTGTTTTCAGCAAGACATACAAATTTTCAGTCACAATTTTGTCAGTTAGAATGAGACTAAATCACAGAAACTATACCAATTTAGCCACAGTCACACAGTACATATGCCCTCTTCGGCTATTCTAATGGTACCGCGCAACTAACAGCACTTAGAGTAAATCAATAACCTTATATAGATTATAGATTGTTACATGCGTAGATTTTCTATGTACAGGAATATACAGTAAACAGATTGCTGCAGTTTTGCAGAATACATCAACAACCCTCTAGATTAGAAAGCTAAATACATTCTTATTAGTGGCTCAAAAAAGTATATACTTAAAATGACAAAGTAAAAACCAATTTGCCAACTATAATCTCAAAATAGTATAATCTCATCACATGATAATAATATTACAGAAGTATTGATGAAAAGAGGAGAATAATATGATCAAATGACTTACAACATATATGTCAAAAGACTCCTCCATATCTTTGGTAAACCTAGAACAATTGTAGTGTCTAAAAACACAGACACACAAAAACAAAACCTTCTAAAATGTACACATATCTAAACATACAAAAATGATCAACTTTATCACCAGATTCAAGATTTAGGACAATTACACAAATAAAAGATTCCTCACTTAAACCACACCTTTTAACACTACAGTTCCAAAATAGTGGCTACAGTAATGTTTGGGGTCGACTGGTTTCAAAAATAAATCAAAAAATATTTCCATAACTGAAAACGATAAACATCTTCAAATGGTTCTGCTTCCCTATACCTTTTAAAAATGGAATGCAAGTTTAGAAGAGGAAAGATCACTGCTTATCAGTATGAATGCTGCAAATTCAAAACAGTCAAAAAGCTGTGGCAAAATATAGAGTTGGGACTTTTAGGTTTTATGTATGTAATTGATTCTACAATTTGCTGCCTAACTATGCCCAGTCTGGGAGCAGCATAGTGTTGCCAAGGTAGGGGGGTTGGGGGAATTGACTGCCTTGCCCAAGGGTACAACCAGGTACACCCAGTCATTCCTGGGATTTGAACCCATGGCCTTCTGGTTGCTGGCTCACCTGTGTTTATCAATGCTGTACGGAAAAGACAGGGCTTATTTTTCAGGAATTTACATGGAATTTTGGCTGAAAACATTTGAGAACCCCTGTCATACCACATTTACCTTTAAATCTGTTGAACAGGTCCATATTTAACATTCAATATTAATGATAAAAATAGCATGGAATATGATGAGTATAAATACGAGCTCATACACTGTTGGAAGCCTGGTTCCTTCATTATGATAAACGTGGCCTCATAACTGAAAAGCCCTTTTTCCAGTGACAGAGGTTAAAAGACAATGACATCAAGACTTTTTCCTTCTTAGTTACCATTGACCTTTCAAAGGTCTGTCACAGAATTACTTGTGTTTAAATAGTGTGAACCAGAAGCTCCATGAAGCTAGAAAAATGAAAACAAGCTCCAAAAAACGATGAGCCAGCATATTTTTGCTAAAACAATGCTACTGATATAAGTACAAATGGGAGGACAAAAATAGCATTAGGAAAAAGAAAAAGTCTGCAAAACAGATCTAACAATATGCTGCTATACTAGTGTTGGGCTCTGATGAGATGTTAGAGTAAAAACACCATATGTTGCCCAGCCCTCTAAAGATAATGGAGATCTGCAGAGCTGTGAAAAGGGAACTGTCAGGTAGGTAGGATTTCACCTGATATGATAAAGTGATTAAGAAACAGACAAGAAAGAGGTGCTGAATGTCCACAGGTTGATGGACGTTTGTGCTGTGTGCGATGTTACCATTAAAATGTGCTGGTCAGGAACAGAGTGATTAGAAAGGGACAGAAGCACATTATTAGTGTATACTATGAAATCTTACACCATTATAGCACAAAGATGAAAATAGTTAATACAAAAACAACATAAGCTGCCTCAGCTCTGGAACAAATCATAGTGCAAGTCACTGCAAAAACCCAGAGTGACTGTTTCTAGTTATCATCTCCAAGGCCTACTGTAATGTGCAGAGTTGATGGGCACTGAAATATTGGTTAGGAACTGTCTAATTTTATAGTTTTTGTTAAAAAGACACTCCCCTAGCAGAGTTCGTACTATATCTGTTGTATTCTTCATAAACACACTATCATCACATTTCTCATCAAAGTGCAGTCATCCTTAATGTTAATGTAATCTCCAGTCAGCAGAAATGTTTGAAAAAGTGACAAAATGCCTTGAGTCCAACGTTGTCATGACAACAATGTCAAACGAGAACAGACACATGAAGAGCCCATGGATTCTTTCCAGAGACTAAAGAGATAAGAGAAGAGAGGCCAGCTCCTTCTGTGCTTCCTCATCCTGTCACAAACAGTACAAAGACAAAAGAAACATTCAGTGCTGAAATACTGAATACTACCTAATTAAGTATCATGCAGAAGCACTGACTTAGTGCTTTACATCTGGCGTTAACTTATCTTCTGGGTGATCTGATCATAAGTGGACAGTGCTAAGTACTGGTGTGATTAGGGCCCAATGTGTCTCGAAGACTGATCACTGAAACTACATTTGGAGGTGGTCAGGGATGCATGTGACCACATAACATTTGTAGTGTAAGCTTAGTAGAGGGAAATTTGCCAGTTATCGGTGCACCAATTTAAATTCTTTCTCCGGTATGATTTTATCATAACTCATATTAGCATGCCATAAATATGCACATTTACAAAGAGTGCAAACCATGCTAGTGTTAGCCTCTTTAGTTGAGTGGCTGGTTCAGGGATTTTTCAGGCACATTTCAAATAAAAATGAAAAGCCAGCTGACCCTCGATCATCTCCAGCTGTCTAGTCTGCTGCATCTGTCCACTTTGTTTTTCTAGGCAGTGGACAAAAAATGGCTGGTCATTTGGGGTAAGCCTTAGCTTAACATGGACACCAGAGAGATTTCTGTGCTTGCTCTTGCACCCCTGACTTAGTGAATGTGGTTGGTACCCTTTGTCCAGTGTTGACAGGAAACACACTTGAGACACATGGAAATGGGAGGTATAAAAGCCTATACGTCTCACTGTCCACTTATCAGATTACTTGAAATGAATATTGATGCCAAGTGTGAACAGGATCTAAGAATGCTGTAACTCACCTCTTTAGATACTATGCCCATAGCAGATGCAGATTCACACATCTTCTTGGCTTGAGTTTTCTGGCCCAAGTCTTTGTAACACTAAAAACAATGACAAAAGAACAAATTATGACAAACACTCACACTATAAATATGTCATAGAAGGTTTTTGGAGTGATCCCACAGAAGAACCACTTTTGGATCCCTAAAGAACATTTCAATGGATGACCTTTGAAAACGTCAAGTGAAAACTCAAATTAAAAGGTTCCAAAAGTGGTTGTTATTCAATGACATCAAGCATAGGACCCAGAGAATGAACACACATGTTCTTTGGCTAAGAAAGTACACAAACACAATAGCTCAAAGTAAACTAAAGTGCATGAGTGTACATCAGAAAAGTGTGAAAAGCATGCCCTTCACACAATAAACACCACAAAGACATCACCCTGAAGAAGCAAGAAATAATTTACCTTGGCTAAAAACACATAGTTGAACTTCGAGTACTTCGGACAGAGCTCCTCTGCCTGTGAAAAGGAACATTAAAGGAAATGAGTTGCTACTGAACAGTTTCCATTCACACTATCAGAGCCAAAAAGAACACAATGTTTTAACATCACGTTGCTGTTGACACTGGTGTATCACAGGACATCATGAACCTGATGTTGATCTGGGTGTAAGGGTATGGGATGTAGAAACAGTGTGTTTGGTTTTCTATGGTCTTCATTTTAGTATTTTTACTCTGTGATGGGATTAAAGCAGTGAAGCTATAATGAAAAACATACCTTCCTTGGTGTAATGTTAATAATGCTTAAAGCAACTACTATGTACCAAAAGAGCAGCTAAAACAGTTACATGGCTAACGTAAACTCCCTGAGGATTTTGCGTGTTTAATGAGCTTGAAAACATCATCATCGCACGCCGTAAACCTCCACCCTTCCACATCAACATATTAAATAACAACCTTGTCTGCGTTTACAACAATTTCACCATGGCACGCAAGAGAAATGCTGGGGCATCTGAGTACATTCTCTCCTCCAATTAAGCTTGATATTTTGACTCGACATTTTAAATCATAGTCATTCAAACAACCATCACTTATGTCATTATGACATTATGTTTGTCTATCACATTCACATCCCCTCTGGTGACTGAGCATTGGTCAAGACAGACAGATGAAACTCATATACTGATCTTCATGAGGCTGGATACTGGACAGAATCTAAGCCAGGACACTGCACTTTCCCCCTGAACCCTCTTAATTTATGCACTACACTACACAGAGCCTTCACATTCAGACTTCTCTTCTCATTCAGTTTAGTCTTAACTAAATATCTGTCAAACTATAAAGCCAGTCTTAATTAATATATTATATTAATGGAGACCAAAACTCCTGTCACTGGTGAATTTTGAGGGTCCCAGATTTTCACTCTGAACCTGTTCCTCAGAGCTGTGGCTGTGTTTTTGTAGCTCACAAGGGATGTTGTATAACTCTTCAGGATGTGTTTGTTAGAAAGCTAGACAGCCCTTATCCTCCCGGCAAGGTGCAACAAGTTACAACACACGCCACTTAAATCAAAATTGATGGGTGAGATACACAAGATGAGGAGGAGGCATGCAAGAGAGTGTCTCGGTTACGACTGATTTTATTTCTCTATATAAACATGTGAAATGTGGTAACACAGATTAAGCCTTTTAAATACCTGGGGTTTGATCTTTAACTGGGTGCAGGACAAACTCGGGGGCAAGTCCCTTCTCATCACTACACAAACATGCCTCTGTGCTGGTAGAAGGCAGACAGTGGGTAGTTTTGCAAGTTTGATGGGTTATATTACACCCTCTTGTAGTTGGATTTATAGCTAAGACTAAGGGTGAAACACTTTAAATTTCAATAATGACTCACATTTCTGTAAAATTTATGTTAATGTTCTGCAACTGTTTTATTTATTGGACAAAATTATTGGACAAATATCTAGAGATTATTTTTATGGGTTCTAGGCTGCAGAAAATGGAGTTCTCACTCCTGTAAATTAGATGTGCTGACATAAAACTTTAATATCACAATAATGACCTAATTGATCACAATGTTGTATTCAGAAATGAAACTCTACATGTATAAGAACTGTTTTTCGGGCCAGGTTGAAGACCCTGTAGGTAGAATATGGCGTACGAAAGGAAAGCACTGCAACTTTACCGTGAGATGTGAAGGTGCTCTAACCAATAACACACCAAAACAGCTGAACAAACATCAAATAAAACATGAGAGGACAATGTGACAACATAGTAGGATCTTGTTAAACTACAGCTACTCTGCATATCTTAAAAAAATTGGTGCAACTGCAACTTGTTTAACGAAAATGCAGTTATGGGATTTTTGAATGTGCACAATAACAACATTTTGTGTGTTAAACATCAGGATTTAAGCCACACACTCCAATTTAATGACTGTCTGGAACTTGCATTCAAGCTTTAAACTCACACATTAAAACATGCATGAACTTCACAATCAGTGTCCACAGAGTTTCTGTGCTAACACTCAGAGAGTGCGAGATTGGCCCACCTTGAGGAAGTTCTGTAGTGCATCCTGGATGGTTGAGCTTGGGGGTTCTCCAAACAATGTAGCAGCAATCTTCCTCTCAATCCATGTACACTGAGCCACCTGCGACATACACATGCAGAATGAATTTTTATGAAAATGACTATTAAAGTTAAAGACTACATTTTATTTATAACTTTTCAGTCAAAATGGCCATGATGTACAAATGATTAACTTTTCAGCATTTGCTTCTAATGATCCAGGTAATCCCAAAAACAATGTCTTGGCAGCTTTAAGATTATACTTTAAGACCACACTTTAAGATCCACCACATTGAGCTGACTTATCACAGTGGAGAAGAGATGAAAGCTTTAAGTACTGTTTATTTGATGGTCACATTTTCTCTGTATTGTTTAATAATCTTTTTTAAACTCCAGTTTTGGAAACTCCTGTTCCACTTGTTTTTCTTTGAATTTCTCCTTCCTCATGCAAGTGGACTGTCTTACATCTAAACTCCTCACAAATGTCTCCTGAAAAATTAATAACTTGTACTCAATGGCCACTTAGCCTGGAAATTAAAAAAAAATTGTACAGTACTGTTTTTATATCTCAGTAATTACATGTATTATAATGTGTAAATGCATTCCAAGAGAAACAGAGACTGTGCCAGTTAAGTCTCCCAAATGATTAAGCAATCACTTGTAATATTCAAATATCAAGAACCAAAGCCATAACTAGCACAATAGCTTTACACATTCATTCATTCAGGTGACATTTCTAAAAAAACCGGAATAGACTGCTTTAAGCTGCCAGAAATTTGATACTCTCAACTGTCGCTAATTATAAGTTGCAGAGGTATAATTGCACACTCACACACACATACACGCTGTGATTTAGCTCATTTCCTGGAATAAGACAATACTTGGTCCAGCATCAGAACTGTTTCGTCTTTGTTCTTTGTAGAAAGGTGCAATTGAAGGTGTACGGAAGTGTAACATCAGCATTAACACTGGATCTTTTTCAACTCAAATACTGTGCAAACAAGGCTTTGAGTCCACCATGTTGTGACATTGTTAAATATACATGAGACATCGGAAAAGGTATATGTTTTGGCAATATTGTAACTAAACACAATTATGCCAGGAAAAGTTAATAAACCGATATATGCTTATTTAAAATATATATAACTACTCTTTATATACTTTGTGTATACACAAAATGGCCATTCATTAAGTACATCTTCTACATTCACTGTTCTTTTTATCAGCTTCTCTTACTATGCATAGGTGCGTTTTGTAGTTCTACAATTACAGACTGTAATCCAGCTGTTTCTCTGCATAATTTGTTAGCCTTTTTTTACCCTTTTCTTCAATGGAAAGGACCCCCACAGGACCACTGCAGAGCAGATGTTATTTGGATGGTGGATCATTCTCAGCACTGCAGTAACACTGACGTGGTGGTGTATTGGTGTGTGTTGTGCTGGCACAAGTGGATTAGACACAGCAGTGCTGCTAGAGGTTTTAAACACTGTGTCCACTCACTGTCCACTCTACTAGACACACCTACCTCTGTTGGTCTACCTTGTAGATGTAAAGTCAGAGGCAGTAGCTCTGTTGCTACAAAGTTTGTGTTGGTCATCCTTCATCAATGGTCACAGTACGCTGCCCATAAGAAACTGGTGGCTGGATATTTTTGGTTGGTGGACTATTCTCAGTCCAGCAGAGAGACAACAGGCCACCACTGAGTCAGCTGAGAATGATCCACCGCCCATATAATACCTGTTCTGTGGTGGTCCTGAAGTGGTCCTGACCACTGAAGAACAGAGTAAAAGGGGGCTAACACAGTATGCAGAGAAACAGATGGACTACAATCTGTCATTGTAGAACTATACAGTGCTCCTATATGGTTAGTGGAGCTGATAAAATGGACAATGAGTGTACATACAAGTAGGTGTACTCAATGAAGTGGGCGGTCAGTGCATATTCAAACCTTTCTAAGTCATAACAAATAATTATCATCATCAATGGTAGAAATTATGGAACACCTCCTTGTGCTACTGCTTCTTTTACAGTAGCCTCAGTATATAATGTAGAGTATAGAATTAAAAAAAAATTTGATAGCTTACACTAAAGCAGTCTGTTTTGGTATCTGAAAAGCAGCTTCTCCATGTAAAATGGGATGTGAGCATGGAGTAGAAAAATCTTGTACTGGACAACAATGAACAAAAAAGGTTTTTTTTTCACCATAACGTCTAAGTGATTAGATAAATGAGGTAAATTAAATAAATTAATACATCACAGTCGATCAGTTATTAATGTTGATTACAAAAAAGAGGCAACAGCTCCATAAAGCTGCATAGATATTCTTGTAATGAATCTGTTCTGATAGATTGCGATATACAACAGTAATCGTAGAGGCAAATGTGGCTTTTATAGTTTTGTGGCTCTATAGAAAAAAAAAACTGTTTGCTGTGATGAAACTTTAAATGATGAGTAAAATTGCAGAAGTGTAATGGTTTAATAAGTTGATCAATTATATAATAGTTGACAGACTAGAGAAATAATGTTGCAGCCCTAGTTGAAAGGATAGTACTGAAACGTCTGAGCCGTAAATGAAGAGGCTTCATTGCATAATGTTGAACTCACAGCATAGCACCAACGGCCCAGCAGATAATAAGACAGTGGATCCTGCGGCTTCAGCTCAATGGCTTTATCCAGATGATCCTTTCATGGACGGGTGTAGGAGGCGGAGAGAGAGAAAAAGAGAAAGAAAGAGAAAGAGAAAGAGAAAGAGAGAGAGAGAGAGAGAGAGAGAGAGAGAGAGAGAGAGAACAAAAGAGCTCATTACTCTTATGTTATGTGACCTGTTCCGTCCTGCCACCACAACAGTTCCCCCTCACACAAACACATGCAAGCACTCGTGCAAGCGTTCAAGCACACAGTCCTGCCTGTCACTCAGTCCCTTTCCCGCTCACATCTCTTGCTGCTTTCTCTCCCTCTCATAGCTCTGTCTATTCCTCCACTCTGTATTCCTATCTTTCCCATTGATAGTCACCCTCCCAGAGCTCTACAGGTAAACATGGGCTGGAGGCCTAGCTGACAGCCAAGATAAAATGCTACGTGCCAGACCGCCAGTCTGTACTTATGAAACACTCTCGTGTGGAAGAGTCTGAGGGGTGGGATGTGGAGTGTAATCTGGCTCTGACTGGTCAGTGAAAACACCACTCACTGGCCTCTTCAGTCACATTTCCAGATACTCTCACACAAACCAGAAGAAACACTTGCATCAGAACATACAAAAAAACACTGCCATAAAAAAATCTGAAGTTAAAAAAAATTGTATCATTTTCACTGTTTTGGATTTTTACCCAATTTTCTTCCAAATTTAGCGCAGGCCAATTCCATCCATTATTCTCTTTCTCACGCAATGTTACCATGCTGGGAGTGTGAAGGCTAGCATATGCTTCCTATGACAAGTGAAGCCAGCTATTGCACCATTTCAAACTGTCACTAACGCAACACCATTGTAAACTAAGCCCAGCTTGGTCTAGGTGCCACTAAATTTTTGGTGGGTGAACCTGCAAGAAATCTCTTAATCATTAAGCAACTGTCAACATTCTCAAAGTTTAAAAAAGTTACTTAAAGTTTCTGTTATGTTTCTTTACACTTACCTTGAAAAGGTAACCATTCTTTATCTTATTCTGGACAGATTCGTGTTCTGACAGAAGTCCACACAGAATAGCATACCTATTCACAAGGAGGGAAAAACAGAAGGGAGGAGGTGTTTAATAACTCTTATTATCATTGATCACAGTAACAGTTCTGAAGTATAGCCTGTTGTGGAGATTACAGATTGACAAAGAATTTGGCTTTCTGGAGCCATCTCTTCTTCAGCCTCTATCTCCTCAGAGTTACTCATAATAGTTCAAAGGCTGATGTCCCCATGCAGCTCCTCAGCTCAGATAAGCCTCTGCAGACATGGCTGGTAGAAGGCTAAGCACAGACACCACACACCACCCTTTCTCTGAGTCATCAGTATAGATTTGAGGAAGGGCAATTGAAGAGCAATGTCTTTCAAGCAGGCCCCTCATTATATCACATCAAGGGTGGCAGCTTTGCCCAGCAGTAGCCGCTCTGTCCAATTAGTCGAGGGCCTCTTGCTTGAGGGACTAGACAGTGATAGTATGGTCAGAGACAGTTGACAGATTTGTGTGTATGTGTGTGTGTGCATGCACACGCCCAAATGCTTGGTTAAAGAGTGTTTTGAGACGGGAGATATGATGTGATCAAAGCTTTTCCACCACATGGTTGTTAATCCTGCTGGTACTACTACTACTCAAATGTATAACCTTAGCATAAACACCTTTCAAATGTAATGAAAAGGCTGTCAGTCATGAAGGAATCTGTTATTTTTATGATATATGCAGTTTTACAGTGTTCTAGTACTGATCTGATGATACACATAAAAGTGTGCTGTGACATACTTTATCAGGATAACATTAACATATTGTCACACTGTCCACCTCTAGTGCGTGTACAAGTGTGAGTAAGTACATGTGAGAGACAGTGCGTCAGCTTGTGTATTTGGTGGTAGGGAGTAAATGCCAGGGTTAGTCCAGGTGCTGGAGGTCAGGTTTCCGCTGTGGATGACTTAAGCCTTTTTGTTGGCAGTCACCACACTGGCAGTAAGCTCTACTGGGGTGGTGACTGCCTTCTTCTCGCATCCCTTCCGGCCTTCATTCATCAAGAGCTGATCTGATCAAATGGCCCCAGCATGGCGTGCTTAAACAGCTTGCTGCTCCCAAGAAGAAAACAATGTGGAATAAATTGGCTTATCTACTGACTTCAGGTTTTCACTCTTGTACTGCATGCAGAGCTATCAAATTTAGAGTATTGCTGATAGTCCAGTCTAACTCAAATCTTTCAATGAAGACTCCTTCAGTGGCAATGAGCAATAAACGTGGATGGGTTGCTACATGTACAGTTAACTTAATATACAATTAAAACACTAATCAGAACCTTTTAAGTGTGAAAGAAAAAAGGAATAACATTGGAATTCAATAATTTTATGTTACCGACCAAATTACTTCAATACAACTTGAAAAGTATTGAATGAGCATTGAAAAATGCTGTCTCTACTGAATTTCAATACCTAAGTGATTGGTAGGGCTAAACGATTTGGGGGAAATGTCTTACTGTGGCTGTTCTATGCAATATTGCAATTGCAATTTAAATGCAATTATTATTTTCTATACATCAATTTCGATGCCTGTTTCTTGGCCAAGAAGACCAGAACATTCACTTTTTCTGTCAAGAAGCTTTAACACTGAGTGCACCAGACTACCAGTTACTTGTGATGATTGTGATGTCACATATACAGCACCAAGGACTGGTTCACAAGCTCTGTGTTATTAGGTTAAATTCCCCATTTAAAATTTATAAAGATAACTCTGTTAATAACGTACTCTATAACAAAAATTGCAACTCAACATATGTCTGGTTTAAGCCACACACTTTTTTGGTTTGTAAAAAAAGGACATTAGGAAAAAAGCATTATTCAGGAATCGGTATCATAATTAAGGTATCGGTATAGTATCAATATTAGACTTAATATAAGTACTTAAAAAAATACCAGCCCTAGTAATCAATATGGGCTTAGTGGAGGAGAAGTATGTCTCGTATACGTCTCTTTGTATATCTTCGCTTTGTACGATTATATAAATGGCAGCTACTGAGGACAGTATCATTAAAAAAATAGCCTAATTCAACAATGTGAGGGCACATTTCTTCTCCAAAATAAATAAAGGCTGAGGATGGACAATATGTCCAAGCAATGTCCTCCATAAAAAATCACGACAATGACCTATGACTTTGTTTTTTTGAGAAACAAGCATGGGAAAAAAGAGAAAGTGTGTTTCAAACAGGTTGCCTTCAATTCAATCATTACAGCACTACTGACAGACCAGTCATAAATTATACCTTCCAATTAATGAATGAACGACTTCTTTCATTAGCACTTGGCAATAAATCAGGATAGTCTGGTGAATCATAGAGATATTGATTTGTTTTGATGAAGCAAGCACTGCACACTCTGGTATCAATGTTTTGACCTTGCTGGTATTACAGGAGTGAAGACTATAAATGCAGAGCTTTTACTGACTGCGACTTCCAAAAAAAAGCATTTGGCTGTGCAGGTTCTGGCAACCACGCACTCACTGGCTACCGTGATGCAATGGCAGGAAGAATATTACAATCCTCACCTTGTTCAGAAGCATAATGGATTTTTATAGGATAGCATGCTGTGTGGTAGCTGACTGCAGTGAAGTTCAAGCTAAGTGTGAGCAAATCTACAATACCCTAATTCCAAATAAAACTTCCAACAAAAAAAGGGGGCATGGGGGGTTTACAGTGTTTTGAATGCTGTAAACAAAATGCAATTGAATGAAATTAGCCTCATTAGTTAGCTCATGAAATTACAAATATGAAAACGTATTACTTTGGAACAAATGCAAACCAATTCACATAACCATTCAGATAATTAAAAATAATTAAAAAAATGCATAAAACAAATCTCCTCATCAGCTAAGGCATGTTAATTATGAATAATGTGCATAGAGGCAATATGATTAATTGCTAATAAATCTGGATTGCAGTGAGATATAAGGAGAAAAACAAAAGATGCACACCAGAAGTGATTACTGATTTAGTCTCATATTGAAAATTGTACAGGTGGGGGTAAGGAAGGTTGCTCAATGGTCCTGGGTGTAATCTGTTCTTATCCCTTATCTCTTTATTGGTTCGTGAAGTTCTCTAATTCAACCCTAGCACATAGCTGTCATGTTCTGGCAATGCCTGCAGAGGTGTGTGCTGACCCAGAGGTGTCTGAGCCAATATCAAAGCTTCTTCTGATGGACTGAGCGCATGACAAGCTTGGCACATCGCTCTGTCCAAGGAATCTGGGGATTCCCTTCACAAGAGCATTATGGGTAAACATCACTTAAAGCTACAGTCAGTGCATTCATCTTAGTTGTTCTTCGTTATATTAAGAGTATTTTTTCCCTTTCAGTGTGGTTACCTTCAGCTGCCCCAAAAGTGTTTGAACACTAACAATTTAACTATTTAAATTTGTAAAAAGTTTGAGAAAATGTGTGAAGAAAATGTCTGTCTGTGGGAAGAAACAGCACTGCAGTATGAGTAAAGCACAGAAGTCTGGAGCTGTTTTTGCTTACTGTGGTGTCAGTGAGCTTGTGTTCACTGATGGGATCATGAACTCAATATTGTACTAAAGCGTACAATAAATTCAGACCTGCAGAAGTCTGCAAACAAACGGCTCGAACAACAACAATTTGAAACACAAAATACTTTGAAAAAGAAAATTACAGTCTTTGAATGGTGTGTATAAAATAAATGCCACTTGGTTTAAAACTTTGTTTTCTAATACAATGAACTACAATGACTACACTTTTACGCAGGGCACAAGTGTCCAAATACTTCTGGGGACACTGTCTACAGATATCTTTAAAATACCAACTGTAGATCAGAGGAGAAGAATAAAAAGGTTTAAAGGGGCTGGCAGATCAATGATCCTAAAGATCTGTGATTTGATGATCATTAACCAAAGTTAGATTTGGAAAAAAAATTCTAAACAATAATATAAAGCTGAAAAACTCTAGCTATGTATTATCAGGACAGTGTGGGCATTTCAGACGTCACAGCGACTGACATTGGTGTACCCATGGAAATGTAAACGACCCCACAGCAGCAGGCTTTTTTTTTTTTTTTTAAGCTTTTATTTTTCTGGCAGAGGTCGCACTTCGAATCTGTGTAAGATTCTGGATTAAGCTAAACTTAAAAAGGTAAGCTTGCAGCAAACCTGCGTTGAACTGGGAAAGACTATGGTAACCAGAGTGAATGTTAGTGACCAAGTAAGAATTTGGCCATTCATCCAAAGAGTGTTTGGTATGCTCTAAATAAATGAAGGCCAAGAAAACTCAGTATATCCACGCAATACCTCTTTTAAGCAATCACAATGATCATGTTTGTTGAGCTCTCAATTTTTCTCTGTTTCTTTCAAACAGGTTGGAGAGGTTTTGAAGGCCTGAGGTGCTTTATACCTCTGGATTGATGGCAGACATTTATGTAAAGTTTATACTATCTGCTAGGAAAAGTTCCAGGTATGTGAGAGAGAGAGTCAAAAGACAAAAAGAAAAGAAGTTGGCATTTAGAACTTGTGTTGAAATATTGACTCTGATATTTCTCCCTCCCATCTGCGCACACACACCCACATACCCCTAGAGCAGGAGGGGGGCTGGAATTATTGAGATGAATGATAAAGTGTGTGAACTAGTGACAAAAAATGAATAAGCAACATTGGAGTTGTCACGGCCAGGATGTTACGCAAGACATGCCTGTATCAACCTTGTGGGGACGCAGAAATCCTTCAAGCTGCTGGCCAATAACAAAGGGGTTTAAGAGGCAGCTGGTAAATGGAAAGAGGAGGATTCATTACAGCTTCCCTCTAAACACACAGAGAGCTCATTTAGAATAGTGAGAATGGACCACTGCCATAGGCTTAACCTTAAGCACTGACACACAAACAGGAGGGACCACTTCCATTCAAGGCCGGCCTGAGTGTGTGTGTATGTACATTTTCAGGACAAAATGTCCTAACTCTCTAGGTCCTAACTCTCTAGGTCTTGAATTTTTTTTTATTTAGGGTTTCCAATGGTGCAGTCCAAAAATGGTCT